TTTCTGTCTTTATTTCAATGCCTCATAGTCTTTTTGTTTTTCAGTAATGGGGATTGAACCCAGGACTTTCTCGCTGATCTCCATCTTCAGCCCTTTCTTTTTTTTTTCTTTTGGTACCGGGGATCGAACTCAGGTCCTTGTGCTTGCGAAGCAGGCGGCGGAGCCACTGAACTATATCCCTGGCCCCAGCCCTTTCTTTCTTCCTTCCCTTCTCTTCCCTTTCCTTCCTTCCCTTCCTTTCCTTTTCTTCTCTTTCCTCTTAGCAGGGTCTTGCTAAGTTGCTCAGGCTGGGCTAAACCCTCCCAATCTTTCTGCCTCCTCCCCCTAGAGTGCTGGGATTACAAATGTGTGCCACCACACTCAGCCCACACAATCTTGGTTACTACAACTTGTTAATAAGTTTTGAAATAATCAAGTGTAAGTTTTACAAATTTGGTCTTATTTTTCAAGATTGTATTGACTGTTCAGCCTCACAATTCCATATTGTCAATTAGTGGAGGAAAAAAAGGAAACAAACTGGGATTCTCATTTATTGTATTGAATGTGTACATCACCTTGGAGAACATTGTATTCCAAGAGTATTAAATCTTGTGATCCATGAACACGTTTTTCCACATATATAGGTCTTCTTTAATTTCTGTTAATGATGTCTTAGTCTTGTACTATTACTCAATTTGTTCCTAAGAATATCATTCTTTTTGATGTTACTGTAAATGGAATGGTTCTTATATTTTCAGGTTGTCCATTCCCAGTACACAGGAATACAATTGTTTTGATTCTGGTTTTGAGGGTTTTTTTGTTTTATTTTGTTTTTCAGTGCTGAGGATCAAAACCAGAGCCTTGGGCATACTAGGAAAATGCTGTACCACCGAGCTATATCTTCAGTCTAATTTGTTTCTCTTTCTTTTTCTTCCTTCCTTTTTGTTCTTTCTTTCCTTCCTTCCTTCCTCTCTTTCTTTCCTTCTTTCAATTCTCTTGTATCTTGCAATTTTTCTGAATTCATTTCTTACCTCTAATAGCATTTTACTGGATTCCTTGGGATTTTTCTCAATATAAGGTTATATCATTTGCAAATAAATATCCTGTATCTTTATTTCTTGTTTTCCAATCTTTTTTTTTTTTTTTGTACCTGGGATTGAACTGAGGACCTTGCACTTGTGGGGCAGGCGGCAGAACCACTGAGCTAAATCCCTGGCCCTTGTTTTCCAATCTTTGTGTAGTTTATTTTATCAAGTTAGAAACTTGAAACTCTAGTATACTATTAAATGGAAATAATAATGAAACTCTAGTATACTATGGATCTTCGTATCTTAAATACATCTCTGCCATGCAGCATATGCTGGGATCATACTTTTTACACATGATCTGCTAATCTGTGTCTTTTGGATGGTTCAAGCCATTCACACTTAATGCAATTACTGAAAGTCTAAATGTAAAGTTTGTGATTATCATTCTGCTTTCTAAATTCAAGAATTCTGCTTGTGATCTCCTACGGTGCCCATGACCTGAAATATCTCTCAGTGCAGTCAGTACACCAAGACAATTGCAAGGCTCATCAACTTTCTCATTTCTCAGGGATCCTACTCCTTTATTGCCTGATGCTAGTACTCTAGGAGCCCTTGTTTCACATTTTGAAAAATTTTTTGGGTTGTTCAGGTGGGAGGACAAATCTAGTCCATCTTAGCCAGAAAGGGGAGACTATCTAAAGCTTTTTCTTATTAAAAAGATTCACTACAATATTAGCTCAAAATCATTCTAGAAGATATTATGGCACATTTGGTTTTCAATATAAGATCGTTTGGTATGTCCCTTGAATATTTGTATTTGGATGGCCTAGTCTTTTGTCTCAGATAAGACTTTGTAATTGGAGTTTCAGTTCTTTTTCTCATTATCACTAGCAAGATAGTTTTATATTCTTTTTATTAAATGGGAAAAGTGGGAAAATTAGTTTTAAAATCTCTGAATTCAAAAAGAAAAATATTGTGAGCAGGTATAACAAAGATATTGCGGGGGGCACCGGGAAGGGAACTCAGGACCTTGCACTTGCCAAGCAGGTGCGGCGCTATTGAGCTAAATCCCCAGCCCATGAAGACATTTCTTGATGAGGGTAGTGAATGTCAAAACAAGGAGGGAGAAGAGAAAAACCTCATATATGCCAAGCTCTCATTTTCTATGGACAACCTGAACTTTTTTTTCAGTGGCGCTGGAAGTTGAACTCATGGCTTCATGCATGCTAGGAAAGCACACTACCATTGAGCTACATTCCCAGCCCTCTTCTATGGACTTTTATGAATCATAAAACTCTAGACTAAGAAGAAATCTTTCCAATCATTTCACCCTATTTTTTTGTTAAACCTTTTATCATGATTTGAATAGCTAAAAAAGATGATTAAAACAACTTTTCCAAAGAAGAGAAGTAGATGAAGAAAGAAGTAGTTGAAAGGCTGGTAGGGTTTATTTTATACCTTATCTAAGATTCCTTGAAGTTCTAAATCTAATTCTAGAATATTCTCTTCACAGAGTCAACTATCATTTTCTAAAGTGTTAAAGAAGCAAGCTAGACCCTTTGAAGATGGAATATTGGCCTAATATTATTGTCATGCTCCCACAAAAAGATGTGGCTGTCTTACAAAACAAGACTTTTTTCATGTGTTTATCTCACGTGGGTTATATCTACAGTAACTAATATATTTAGCTATAATTCTAAGAATTAAGCAATGTGACCATTACCTCTGGCCCTTCTGGAATGAGAATTATGTTAACATAATGTGGAAAAATAATTAAAAAGTCATGTCAGACAGATGGTTTCTAAGCTACTTCTGAAAAAGTTAAAACAATAACAAAAGTCTGAGCAGGAATACATTTTAAATGGCCTACATACATTAATTTCTTCAAAATGGTGCAGAAAAAGGCATGAATATTGAAAATCTTCTTGAGGGTTACAAATGTAGAAATAGAGTGAACCATACGTTTCATATTTTCCTGTAGACACTAAAGAATCTGCTTTCCACTTCAATATTTCCTTGCTACTTTTGCTATTGAAATGCTAATTCAGATTACTACCAGTGAAATAGAAGACTCTCTAATAGATATTCTAAGGTTGAAAATTCAAGGAGGGGATTGCTTCTGGTTCAGTTCTATGGATACAAATATTTAATATTAAGTATAATCAGTGGTCTCATCCTAAATTCTCAGGACTTTATCCTTAATGTTTCTCCCATTGACACAGCACAGCACCGATGTTGCTACAAATTCCAAAGTATCATGCAACAGTAGTTTCTAATTGCTTTAGCATTTATCATGCACAAGAGACAGGAGGGAAGTTGTCTCATTTTGTACAGCGTGGTTGCATTTCTTATCTCTGAAATATACTTAATCAGCAAACCAGGACTTTAGGTAGCTGTCTGAAAACCATCATACATTAACATGTCTATCTCAGAAGAAAAATGAATTAGATTTTTGAATGCAGAATACAGTTTGACCCTATTCTGTGCATTAATTTTTAGTTTCTCTTTTGCACATTTTATAAAGTAGGCGCTTCAGACATTTATAGCTAAATAGATAGACCTTGAGACCATACTCTTAAGTGAAATAAATCGGACAAACATGTTTAAAAATCCTATTGTTTCTCTGGTGTGAGAAACTGAATGTGGAAATAAGGACTGAGATGTACAATGGATGTTGGGAAATGGGAAGAAAGTGTTCAAATGGGAAGGGGAGCAAGGGAGGAGGGAGGGAGAAAGGAAGGAAAGGACAAGAAAAAAGTGAAAATAGAAGAAAAAATGGAAACAAAGTTTTTGTACTTGAAGGAAGGGGGCTTGAGGGGGAGAATGGGATAAAATAAAATAGAATTTATTAAAAAAATAAATTAGGAGCCATGATCTGTCTTACCCATACATATTCTCATGCTCACATTTTCCAAGTTATGCTTTTTGTCAGTTTTGTTTTTCAAAACGTTTCTTAAAAAAGCATTTTGGTACATTTCCAAGATGCTCTCTGGGGCTATTTAGCGTCTAGTAGCGTCTTTCTGAGCAGTCATTGGAGGTACTTAACACAATGTATACTTAGGTCTTTTAAACCTGACAACTCTCTTGAACCAGTTTTCAAAGAAATAGTACCCTTCAAATTCTACAGAGAACATTTGGTTACCATGTATGGGATTAAGAGAGTGAGGAAGATGAATTGTTTATGTACTCTTGAATATAGATCCTTCCTACTAGTGAGTTCTGCTGATTGTTGAAGCAGCCAGTCTGTGCCTGCTGTTCCAGGAATTCAAATCTTGTTAAGATATGGTGAACTCTCAAGGGCCAGGGATTTAGCTCAGTGGTTCTGCTGCCTGCCTCACAAGCTCAAGGTCCCGAGTTCGATCCCCAGTACCAAAAAAAAGGAAAATATGAACCCTCAAATGGCATAGAAAGAACAGATATGTTTGTCTTTGAGAGGCTGTGGGGGAATGAATAAAATAAATTTTGGGCTTTTGTTTCTGACAAAGCTGACATGGTTTCTAACAAATTCTTCATATTCAATCCATCCTTCCTTCCATATTCTATCAATGCAAAAATGCTCTGTACACTGATACAACTTCCATGTATTCATATTTCCTAGTGGTTAAACATAATGAAATGAACAGTGAGTCATTTAAAGGGCAAGACTAAGTAGCAAGGGACAGAGATGAAAGAAAATTATAAATAATCACCTCAACCTCCTTAAGTAGGCACTTAAATAGAGGGTTCACACATCATCATAGTCCATGCAGAAACTTAAGTGAGTCATTTTATAAACTGTTTTACACTAGTATCACCTCCACATTTGGGGAATCGATAGTTAATTTTATTAACTATTGAAAACTTCATCTTTTTAGGCAAAGTAACTTTAACACAAACCTTAAATTACCCCAATTTCTTCCTTTTGAAAACTGTGATCAATTCTACCAGAGAAGGAATATGTATATAACAGGGTAGAGATACAGGTATTATGAAAAAAATGAATCTTCACATAAATAATTTATGAACACATTTATTGCAAGTAGCTCTATGGAAAATCAAGTCAGATATATATAATATAAACACTATACAGAGTTGCAAGTTTGTGTCATCTGCAAACAAGACGGTTACGAGGAATACAAGAGTATTTACAAAGGAAGACAAAGCCAAAGCAACTCAAAGCAGAACTGTGAAGTAGAAATAGCAAATGTAATGAGCTGTTGCAACTGTAAAGTTTTAGTTTATACCAACCTAGTGACTATGTATGACACCAAATTAATGTAGAGGTCACAAAAAAATCATTCCATCATAAGTTTTTCTTAACAGCAACATAAACTGATAACTGGAAGGTAAGTGATATGTTAGTACATATCCTTCCAGCACAATACTGAATAAATTCTATCTGTAAACTAAGGAGTAATGTCAAAGAGATTATATATTTGCAATGCTGTACCTGCAACTTTTGTACCTGTTACTATTTGTATGTGTATAAGGTTTCCATTTGTTTATTCAGCAAGTGTTACCTCTGTGATATACCCTCTGTACCCTGTCTGCTGGCAGTCCCTAAACCTAATCTGTAAATAGTGTTTTCCTCCAAATAGTCTTATCTTCCCAACATTCTGAATAATTATGACTTAACTTACTTGAATATAAAATGGTGACAAAAGGTTTGAAAGAGGCTGCCTAAAGAGCACACTGTTATCATATTGAACAAAAGCCACATTGCATTATTTGATTAGGATGGGGAAAGAGAGGAGTCTGAAGGAACTGAAGAAGTTGATGCCTTAGCAATGACCAATAACTGTAGCAGTGACTAGTCCTGTAGCCACATCCCCTCTTCAGTTTCACTCACAAGAGGAAGTAAAGATACCTCCATCCCTTTGGTTGGTAGGCAAGGAAAAATAGAAATCCACTCAGTTCTTCAGAAAACTTAGCTTAGCAACATGTATTAGAAGCCTGCCCAAAGATAGAAGTACATGTTCAAAGACAACAAGTGGTGAAAAACTTTAGATAAATATTACATTACTTCAAAGTTGCACATTAAATGCGAAGCAATTTTTTGACAGTTACACACAACAGTTACACCTACAATCACATGTTCACAGGTACACAAAGTATGCATACACACCACTATATGCATACACACACTAACACTCACACATTTACACATTCAAACACATCCATCTATGATGTGATGAGGTTTGCCAGTGATGGTACAACAAGCAGAGATGTGTGTGCCACCACGTAACAAAGCTCTAAGCAAGCTTCAAGACCTTTGTACCTATCCTCTGTGGTCACCACCTGTTGGTGTCATGTATTCAAAGGTCCAGGTTCCTAAAATCTTAATTCAGTTTCCATCAGAGACAAGCAAAAATGGGAAGGGAGGGAGCTTGCTCTGATTATTTTTTAATTTGGTACATCTTGTATCAGTTTATTGTCCAGAAGGAAACAAAGCCTTATAAGAGATTCCTTTTGGTTTAAGTTGTAATCTGAATGTCGACTGATAAGTATATACTAAATTTTTTTTATATAGGAAACTGATTTCTTTATAGGAGTCCTGGGCATAAGAGGGAGTGTGTGTGTCCAGGAGAGGGCCAAAAAGAGAGGAAGGATGTCGTGTGAGAGAGGGAAGGCTCAGAGAAACAGAGAAGGATCTTATGAGGAGGCTTTTGAAAAATGTTGTTTCTTTTAGGAGGAAAATGTAGGTTTCAAAATAAAATAATTGGTTTGGAAATGCTAAATTGATTTGTAGGCAGAGGACTAGTGTGTTATATATGAAAAAGTAGATAACCTGCTCCTCAGGTGTGCCTTTAAAATATTGGAAATGCTCAATCAAGATATCAGTTTAGTTGACATTCAATGTGAAATGATGTAGTTTTGTTAATGAGCAAAAACTGAGATTATCTGGTCTCTAGTCCTGCCTTTAAAATATTGAAAATTCCCCATCAAGATATCAGTTCAGTTGATATTTCATTTCTTGATGAAGAAATGTTTTGCATATGTTCTAATCAAAAGATTCCAGATCATACCTATCTTCTCATTTGTATAAGTTTTTTATCTCCTGTTATTTAAAGGTTTTGTAACTTCAAAATGAAACCAAATATTATACATCAGTAAGACTGGTATGCTCTACATTTACTTAGATTGGAAGAAAAGGAAAGAGTTTTAGGAGGAAAAGGAAAGAGTTATAGATGCTAACTTTTATAGTATTTGTTTTCTTTCAAAGACACAGATGGGGGGGCACTAGAAAATAAAGCACAGTGCAAGCATTCTTAATCAGAAAATCACTGGATCCATAGGACAGCAGAAAGAGTGATCTTATTGAGTTGCGATCCTTCAACTGCCAGAATCCACTTGTAGGTTTTTAGAAGTTAGGTTGCTTTCTATTCAGAAGCTTCTGAATTTTCTTTCTTTTAGGCAGATCTGGAGTAGATGAAGATGAAATCTTTTAAGTGTCACTTTTCTTCTAAAATGTGTTTTTGTGGCAATTTAATCACTCTGCAAAGAAAGATGATAAAACCAAAATTAGAACTAGTATGAAGAGCTTTCATCCCCAGCTTGCTCTAAAACAAAACAAAATCTAGGGCCGGGGATTTAGCTCAGTGGTTTCACCGCCTGCTGCGCAAGCGCAAGGACCCGACTTCGATCCCCGGTACCAAAAAAAACGAAAAACAAAAAACAAAACCAAAATCTACCTAGAAGTTTTGGAGATAAATATGGAGGAAACTGCCTGCACATGCAGGTGGTTAATAAACTCTGCAGGCTGCCTATGAAGAACAAGTGCAAGCTGGGCAAAGACTCAAGGGCAGTTACTCCTTTTGCCCCCACGCTGCCACTGACATTTCTGAGGGACAGTAGCTTTGCACATGCTTGCGCTTTGCGCTATTCTACTTCCTTCCAGAGGAGCCAGACATTAGGCTCCTTCAAGTGAGCCAAGTTTCTGGCAGACAAAGATTGTTTTTCCTTGTCCCACATGCTTGATTATGCCTTTAACCTGTTATATGGCACCATTCAAAAGATTTAAGCATGAACTTAGTCTCAGTCTTCTGACCTAATCACTAAATTTCTTCTGAAAGAACAAAATCAGGACTGCAAAGGAAAGCTGATTGAAATTCTCACCTAATAAAAAGAGGTGGCAGTTATTACTCTCTTGGCTTTCTACTTGAGATAGTGCATAATGGGGTGTTGGGGGTGGTCAGATATACAGAAAGTACTGGACTCCAGAAGGATAGGGATAAATGCTAAGAAAACTAACTATATATGCCAGTGTTATTTTAAGATGGGGTCACATGAAAGTACCAAGTATTCTTTTTTCATTTGGCACAACCTAAAAAACCCATGGAAAGCATTCTCCAGAGGAGGCTTCAAGTATAAGATCTTGAGTTAAACTGAAGTATAGATTTTAATTGTTCATTTTTTTCACCAGATGTTTGGGCATATAACAAACTTTTAGCTGGACGAAGTATTGAATGTTTCCATCCCATGTACTGTGGCTATTAGTCAGGATTCATTGAAGAGGTCCTTTCCTCATGTTGAAAAGTTAGAAAAATAAGTATCCTCGATTAAGAAAAAACATTAAATCTTCCTGTCAGTAGTAGGCATAGGAAATTTTAGATTCTATGTATCTTATTAACACAGGATGAAAAAGGTACCCCTGAGAGCCATAGATTAACTGAAAGTACATATTTGCAATTTGTTTATTTTCTATGAAGTTAGGTTAGATAATTATCATGGAATTTTTTCAGATATCAGCTACATGCTTTTAAATGAAATTTGAGGTTAGAAAGATTATCTCATATAATTTAGTTTACTGTTTTAAATATAAAAATATCATCCTATGTTCACACAACGGCATACTGTATATGCTTTAAAGGAGGTTTCTTATTACCTTAGATGATATACTACATTGTTAACATTTATTTTTCAAGAAATACACAAATTTATATCTAAAAACAACTTCATTGTCATTACACTAAGCCTGAAATTTGGAGCATTTGTTGCCATCGGAGTATGTTTTCTTTCTTCTTTCTTTTTACAAATGATAGTCTCCAGTAAAAATTTGATTCATATCTCCATTTCTTTCCTATAACACACCAGCATTGGGTGAATGTTTGATAATTACTAAGACCTGGCAAATAGTATAATTTCAAGTTTACAAAATATGTTTGTCAATTCCTGTTTAACTATGCTAAAAAATAATGCTTTCAAAATAAGATAATCCCAAAATAATTTAACTTGCTTTTGAAATGCATTGTGGGAACTTGAGCCACAGATTTGCCTTCATAATCCTGTTTCACTTAGGCCAATATTGAAATGAGTTTACATTCCCTGAGCACATTCCAAAGAATAGCAAAAGGAAGTGACTCAGAAGCTTGCTGGGTGGCAAAGGAAAGCAATTCAGGATTAAAATTCAATCTTAAACAGTCTACAAAATAAATATTAAAGGATAGACAATCATACCTTAGATTCATAGCCTGCTTATTTTTATATCATTTTCACCACCAGAAAAGTAAATAGCGATGCTTTTAATAATGTGGTCTGCTTTTGATGTATTATTCCCATTTGATACTGACAGGTTACAATTACCTTATTGTGTATTCTTACTTTCCAATTAATCAAAGATCTTTTTAATGACAAGTTAATCCCACCTCTTTTAATTGGTGGTATTCTTTTCAAGTAATTTTTCTCTGCAAGAGAGAAAAACCTTAATGGACTCTCATGGATGAAAACATTTCCCTTCTACTTTCTCCAAAGCCTGGCAGGAAGCATTTTCTTATCAAAAACAAATGAAGTAAACTTTTCTGTTTTAATTTGTATAATTATATAAACTGAACATTAATCTTTAATATAGTAATAAAGCACACATGACTTCAATATCCCTGGAAATCTGTAGAGTGAGCCAAGAAGGGAGTTCCTCCAGGGTATTCCAGACCTCTTTATATCAGTCATAAACATGCCTCTATTACAATTTAAAATCCAAAACAATCCAAATTCTCTGCCCAGAAAAGGTGAAGCTATAGCAATATATCCAGTTATTCTCTTACTCTCTTCTTATACTCCCCAATCTTATTGTCAATTATCCTTTTAACTCCATTTTTTCCTAGATCACAATTTTTTTTTTTCAAATTCTATTGAAAATCCTCAATTTGTTCATTAGTCAACATGCTATTCCCACAATCAACTAGTGGTTACATAAGCAGAAGCAACCAAATAAAACATCCATGGCAAGAAAAAAAAAAAGCAAATGGAAACATACACCCTAAAGTTTAATAGATAATAATGAAATTAAATTTTTTGGTTTAGCTTAGCATGATTTTTGGATTATATGTAGTTTTTTTTTTAATTCAATAAGAGAAGTCACCACATATTTCTGTGCCCTATGAATGTATACAAAGATAATTCTCTAGGACTTGATAAAAATGAAGTGCTATTCTTAGGGGTAAAAACTGGCAATAATTGCTACTGGTCTTTACAATACCAATTGCATTGTCTTCTTCACACATCAGATGATAAAATAGGCTTATCCCCATAGTAGCAAAAGTTTGTGATAGAATAATCAAAAGAATTTGTGAGGGAAATGGATAACACTTGTAAACCTCTATATCCTCAAAGGTCAGATCAGTTGTTTCACACTTGTCTTTCCCTAGAAGGGCCTGGAGCGCTTATGCCTGTTTACTCCAATCTGGATTATGTGGATACAATTGTCTGGGGGATCAGATAAGAGATTTTCATTCTAAGTCAGTTTCTCCACTACCTCCCAACAACACACTGTTGAGCCACTTCACTCTTCTGCCTAGTTACTGTTGACTTAAAGAATGCAAGTTACTAGAATTCTAATATAAACAGTCTCCAATTTACAAGAGACATATTCCAAGCTTCATCGTTCAGTTGAAACTCAGAATAAATTATCTCATAGAAACACTATCATAAGGGCTGGGGATTTAGCTCAGTGGCACTGCTCCTGCCTCGCAAACACAAGGTCCTGAGTTCAATTCCCAGTACCAAAAAAAAGAAACACTGTCATAAATAAATGGTGGATAGGTTGATAGTATCATCTACACATCCCTATATTTAACCTATGAAGGTCCTGAACTAGCAGGGACTATTTTAACTACATCCAACTATAATTTCTGTGAGATGTATTTGAAATTTCAATTTAGGACTCCAGGGAAATACACCCTCTAGCCATGGCAATAGAAATAGTGTCCACTCAAACTCCAAAGGCTGGAAGAGTTAGGGACAGGTAGAAGGAGAAGGAAGAGTATGGTATGAGCTAGAGTGATAATAAGGACTCCTTCAAAGGGGAAACTCGGTGGGTGAGGACATCATTCATATGCCTTGAAGAGGCATAACATTTTGAAGCAGAAGTTAAAACTCACATTTGCTGGTCAGACATTCAAGGGCACTATTGGGTACACATGTGAAGATGTAAGATGTAAGATGAATTTAGAGATAGAAGCTTGATTGATATTCTATGTTTCAAGGCTACATATATGTAGGAATTTATTAATCATAGAGAGTTAAATTATATTACTGTGAAAACTAGTTAAGGACACTACAATTTATGGGAAACTTTCATAGTCCCTGCTCGATTTGCAATGTCCCTTACCTTTTTAGTCAGAGAGAGACCAGGAAAGGACATGTTTTTCTGAAGTTAAGGACACAAGTCTGGCAAGGGGCACATGAGGGTAAAACTCATAGAATACAACCCAATGAAACCAATAAGGAAAGGGTTATCTGGAAGGTAGGAACAAAGATAGCAATAATTTTCTCCTTTCACTAAATATTTAAGTACATATTTTCTCTTCTGAAAGGAATAACTCCTCAGCCAGAAGTTGAAAGATACTCTGAAAAAGAAAGCAAAACCTAAACAGTATACATGTCCACATTAAGAAAAAAATCCTTAAAAATTCTTTTTTCTTCGATCATTGAGCCTACCTTTGCAAAAGATAAAAATGTGAGATTTGTAACTTTACAATGCAGAACTAACTGATAGAGAACATACTTTCACTTCACATGGCAAGCACATTATCTTTACAATTTTATCAATACCTTTAAAATTAGCAGCCAAATGCTTGTGCTAAAAAGTGTGTTGTAATGTATTCATTTTATCATTCTAAAAATTAGTTTTAAAGATCTCTCATTTTTCACTCGGGACCAAGCAATGTTTGCCAGCAAGTGATCCTCCTCACCATCTAAGAGCCCAGCAGCACTTCTTACACAAAACATACTACAGACTTTTAAGTATTTTACAAACGCTATTTTCCAATAGTGCCAATAAAATGTCTGGGTATTTTTATATCACCTTAAAGACTTTAGAAAGGTAATAAACAAAATGAATTAAATTTTAAACAAGGATTTTTATGTTCCAAGGAGAGGATTTGATTTTCAAGGTTCTTAAATCTACTGGTCTGACTGCTAAAATCAAGTTTACTTTTTAAACAAATGAAGAACATCTATTTCTATAGTACTTTTTTTTCCACCTGTCTTACTGTAGCCTGTTCTACCCACTGTGACAATTTAGACTAGAATATCAGATTTTACACAGAAAGAAATTAAAAGACTTTTTGCTGTAAACTGGCAAGTGTCATTGGTTTATTAGGAAAACTATAGAAATCTAACTTTAGTTGAGGAAGTGACCATTAATGGAAGGTTACCAGATGCACACTCAACTCAATTTCATTCTTTTCAACATTTCTGTGAGATCCAAATGGATATATGCACTATCTGTATTTAGGAAGTAAAGATTAGCTAACTCCTCCCTAGATTAGATTTAAAACATTTGATTCCAGCACATGTCAGATTCTTTTAAGAGCCACAGCAAACAGTTCAATGTGATGAAAATTACCCAAGTCCTGTCAGATAGATGACAGTTTTAACATTCTGAATGTATTACAAACAAATTTGCTACTGTCAAATTCATATGAACCTATAATTTTTCCCAATCCTTCCCTTTATAATAATCTTTCATCAATATAAAAAATAATGGATTAAACACCTGATTAAAGGGAAGTGTGATATACTAGGTGGAGTCATGGATTTTAAATGAGATGTATAACTTATATTTGCAGCTTTGCCACTTACCTTTTTGACCACAGAAAAATTCTTAACACAGGCTTCATTTCCAGTACTTACCATCTATCAGTAAAATAAAGAATGTGAAGGTGCTTTGAAAACTATAAAGCAATCTGCAACTAGAAAGCATTGCCTCAACCAATAAATTGATAATTTGACAACAGTACATTTTTTTGTTTGTTTCTGAGACAGGGTTTTACTGTGTAGTTTAGGCTGGCCTTGAACTCACTATGTAGCCCAGGCTGGCCTAGAACTGGCAGTGATTCTCTTGCCTCAGCCTTCTCAGTACTGGGATTGCAGACTTGTGCCACCACACCCAGATCTACAATAGTACATTTTATTTTATTTTGTTTTTGTTTGTATCGGGGATCGAACTCTGGTCCTTGTGCTTGCGGGGCAGGCCGCAGAACCACTGAACTAAATCCCTGGCCCACAACAGTACATTTTAAATCATGCACAGTATTTCTTACTTTTAACTTGCACTAGCCAGCCACATGTGTTCCAACATGAAATGTTTTAGAAGCTGGAGTTTGTTCCCAAAACAGTTCTCTGCCAATGACTCGGAAGTATTTTGGTTCATTTGCCAATTAGGGACAGGAAAAGAAAACTAGAGATCCTGTTTGAGTTTTTACGCATGTGTCATATTCTCGTGTGCCCATAGTCTTGGCCCTTGTTTAAAGTAGATATTATGCTAGTGGCCAAAATTTTTATGCTGCAAGCATCACTCAAACACAGAATAAATGCAATGAATTATTGCCAACAACTTTAACTAACTTTAATTGAGTAAGGTCCTCTTTAATTTTTATAGGTCAAACACCTCATTACTCCAAAGGATTACTCAAATCTGGAGGATTGAATGTTGCCTAAAATAAGTGACCCATCAAAGATGGCTAGAAGATCTCTCCTACGTGAAGATTTTTCTAGTAATTTATAATAAATAAGTTAAAACTATAAAAAATGTGCTCATAGCACCTATAATTTATAGCAACATAATTTGGCAGCAGTACACCTGAAACAAACATAGGTTTCCTATATGGAGATTTCAGTGCCAAATATTTCAAAAGTTGATTTTTTTTCTTTTCAATACCAAGTGCTTTCATAACATAACTGATTTGGCTATCTCATACTTTTTAGAACTGCCTTTTTCATCCTCTTATCTCTTGAAAAAAAGTCAGGTAATTTTTCTCCTCACATCATTTCAAACTATCAATTTTACATCAGGTAAAGAAGTGAAAGAAGAGAAAAGTCCCACATGGGCTAAGAGTCAGACTAAACCACTTAAGGAATTATGTTCTCCTCCTAAATGTTAGTGTCTAAAACTCACATGTTTAAAATGTGAAGATTCCATCTTCGGGGAAGGCTTTAAAAAGTATTTCTTTTATTAAAAAAAAAAAAGTCATGTCCAAGTTATATTTCTGTTGACTTGAACAAATGCCCTTATATACAGATAAATGAGATTATATACTAATTTTCTGTTACATGAAAATGCTGTCTCAGTAACATAATCTTACTTAAAGTAACTATAAAGATTCTGACTGAACAAACATGTGGAGTATTTTAATACAGTAACTGAAACATGGGATTTGAGGATAGAGAATTTTAATTTAGCTTTGTGCTTCTAAATGTAATAACAACAAAACAACAATGACAGTAACTACATAATAATTCATGTATAACACTTACTTATGTGCTAAGCAGTTCTAAGAACTTTCCATGAATTAAAATTCCTTTTTGAAATACATAACTCTTAATATTTTGCCTCTGTTCTTGTCAAGCATTTTTTGTTTCTTTAATATGATCTTTTTATATTATAAATGTTAAATAGGAAAATGAGGAAAGACTGAAATAGGTAAAAGCTATTAACTTCACACTTCATAGACAACATTCTACTCTATTAATTCACATTAAAATGCTAACCAAAGTCATTTCCTGCAGTGGGTTATTTCACCACATCCCTCCCCTGCCATTCCTTCCATACATCTCAGAAACTATATGCAAGAATCACTCTCAGCACCAAAAATTTTGTAAGAAACTAAATCATTAGTTTAAATGGTTGAAATTTCATTTCAGTATTAATACAATGACACAATAAAAATATGTAACAGGTGAAAAGTGCTTTCACATTCCAAAGTGCATTCATTCTCTTATTTCAATTTAAGCATATACCTTCCTCTGAGATATAGCCTTCTTACTGTAATCAATCAAACAGCTAGGAATTTCCTCAATAAACGATGCACTTAAAGAATGTCAAATCTCCAAAATACCCAGAAAGTCACAAATCAGTAATATATGTGAACATGGTTACTGGATCTTAATCCTTGGGAAGTCGGGGTTTATGAAGAACAGCCAGATTTCACTATTTTAAATCTTTGCTTAAACAATGATTAGAGTATTGGAAAGTATAGGCAAAACTATAAAAAGGCATGCTTTACAAAGTACTGCAGGAACCAAGCAGATAGTTTAATGCAGCATCTATCTCAATGTGTAATTTTAAATCAAAGTTGTAAAGCTTGTCTATTAGCAGTTAAGATTCCAATAGCTTGATACTAATTTTCAGGTGTACTTTACAGAATAAAACAAACCTGTTCCTGAAAAACTAGTTATGAATTAAGTTTTGGAAAATGGAATTACAAATTTTAAATGCAGGATTAAGGGAGTAATGGAGATTGTGTGCAAGTAGGGGTAGGTGGGGGGGGTGTTGGGGAGGAGGCTCACAATTTAATGGACATCTGAATTGAATCCTTTGGCAAGCCAAAGCATCCTTTTGTCCTTTTAATGATCACTCTTTGAGTGTGTCTGTGCTGCAAATGTGAGTTTTTGTATGGCAAGTTTTCTACAGCAGGGGGAGAAAGAGGAGGTGGGGGGGAGCTACACCTGCACTAAATAGGGAACTTGTTAGGTGACTGTTGTGATCAGTCTCCGAATTGTTCTGCCTGATCCAGCACAGTGGGCGGAGATCCAATCACAAAAGCATTCCACAAAGCAAGCAAAGCAAAAATCTTCACTGAACAGACTACTGGAATGAAAACTGCTGGGGTCCATCCCTTTCCTTATTTAAAGAGGGAAAGCAGTTGAGACTATGGAGACATCATCTCCTGCAGTCATCTTTTGAGAATGATTCAAGACAACATTCTGTCATGTTGTACACAGACAGCTCCTACACTTCTTTAGGAAAATTAGCCTTTTAAAACCTCCCACTGTTCCAGGTTAGGTTGCCCCTGGGGTCAGGTTTTCCTCCAGTCTTGCTATTGGACATTCATTGATTTTTCCGAAGGCACACTAAGTAGATGTTCTAAATGCTTTTTAAACTTTTGAAACAATATTCATATCCATTATCAAGTTGTCACTAAATCCTCTTTGGCAAGGGTGGCAGGTTAAAAGAAGAAAATGAGGCAGAGCAAATGCGACTAGTCTGTTCCTACCAGTGACAGAGAAAAGGGACACTCACAATTTCAGTTTCTCACAATTTATCCTGTGTAAAAACAAAATAAAAATGATCAACATAAAAACACAATCCAGAGCCAAATAACATCTTTTAAAAATCATCTTCTGTTTTGAATTATTTATGTTTTGTCCTCTCCCACAGCTCTCTGTTCATTCAGGATAACAATTGAAATTTAACCTTTTTGGTAAATCACAGCAAACTAGCATAACAATGACTGCTTTTTAAAAAGTAACACTAAGAGTTAATTGTTACTGCTTAATATTCTATGCTCTTATTCAACTCCAGCACTTAAATACAGTATAGGCATCTGTAGAAAAGCAGTTTTTACTTATGGATTTGGAAATGGTTGATGGAACTTAATTTTGGACCTCTTGCTTTGCATTATCACTTAGTGATGGGAAAGATGTTTGAAAGAATCTTCATGTTTAATGTCCTTTAGTTTTAATTATTCCCCCAAAGTAGAGCAAATGTCTAAATGATAATCGGTTTTGTCAGGGTAAATTTATGGTTGAATAAAAGCTTAGGTTTTTGCAAAGATCAAAAAGGTAATGTGTGAATAATTAAAATTGATTTCCAGCACTAAGTAAGTAAATACTCCTTCTTTTATCCCTAACAATGTACACTCCGCAACGACCCTTATGAAACAATGACTTTAGGGAAATTAATTCTAAAACTACTAACCTCTTTTCGGAGAGTGGAACTTCTTGTTGTCAGGTCTGGCAAAGTCCATTCTCACGTAAGTTTCGTCTTCGTCTTCAGACTCTTCTCTCTCCGGGGGTCTCGGCACCCAGCGGTGGCGCGGGGGTGGTGGGGGACCCTCAGCTGCGGCGGCAGCCCCGCCAGCTGCGTTCTCACCTCTGGCAAGGTCTGCAGGTGGGTTCGGGGTTCTAGGATTCGCGCCACCCGCATTGTCCAGGGCCTCCCTAACTGCCTCTGTACCAGCAGCATCAGCAACAGGTTGAAACCCGCGGGGAGAGGCGGAGTCAAACCCAGCCGCAGCCTCTAAGCCCGCGGCGGCTGCGCCTAAGCCCGGGGCTACAGCGAGCGCTGATGCCGCAGCTAACCCCCGGCCCACCGCTAAGGTTGGCGCCTCTGCTGGTGCTGCAGCTGAGGAGGGGGCAGCAGAAATCGCTCTCTGGTGGCCATCAGTCAGGAAAGCCGAAACAGCTGCTCTGACAGCTGCAAAGAAACTTTGTGAACGGCTTTGAGAGCATCTGGTATCTTGCTCTTCCTGCAGCAGCCTAGCTACAGGTGGTGGTTCAGAGCGTCTGCTAGGGGAGAGAGAAATGTCCATACAGAGCTCAGAAAATGGGTTGACCACATAGATTCGACCTGTTTCAGCATCATAGCGAATGGCACTGTCAGCAAAAGGCACGGCCGGTGTCATTGCTGGGTTGAAAATTACTTCAATGTAGTCACCCTCTTCGACATTAGAATTGCTACCTGCAGCCCTGGGAGGAAGAGGAAGAAGTGGCCACCCAGCACCCTCCAGAAATAAGGGATTGGAACCTGGGATAGCTCTTAAAAGATCTGAGAGGTGACTTGCTGGATTTGGAAATTGCACTCTGAATTCAACATTCATGTAATTAGAAAAGGCTGACTGTCTAGGGTCAGCAATTATGCCCAATGAATGTGACAGTCCTCGAGCAGAGGGGGCTGGCATACTGCTATCTCTTTTAGTGAAGTCAATGTTGACATAACCACTAAAGCTGTCAGCTTCTCTCTGCTTTTGTGTGGGCTTTTGTGGTTTGGGCTTGATTTTATTTCCTTTTGTAATAAAAGACAGCTGGTTAGGTCTTTTAGCCTTATTCTTTGGGGGTTCATCATCTGAAGGCTTTGAAGGTGATCCACCATCTCCAGCCTTTGAGAATGACCCCTCAAGTGAAGGCTTTGAAGCTCCATCTTTGAGGCCCCAGTTTGAGGAACCTTCTTTATCCAGGGCCCTCCCCAGGAATTTTCCAGGTAACATTGGTACATACTCACTGTGGTCACTCTGTCCCAAGGGTGAGCTCTGAAAAGAGTTAGGCAGCAAGAAGTAGGAACTCCAACTTTTGGAGGAAGAGCCACCTTGAGGATTTCTCGGGCTTTTTGGAATTGCACCAGCTCCTGGAGCCATAAACATGTAGTCACCATCACTATCGTTATCCTTTGAGTCATCCTCTTTATTAGGATCAGGTCCTTTTGGAGTACTTTGGGCAGATGATGGGCTCACTCGGGGAAACATCATCATATATCCTCGTGAATCTTCAAATGGTGATCGAGAGTGGCGCTGTTTTGAAGCAGAAACATTTTGAGGAGCCATTGGCATATAATCACTGGAGCTTGCAAGAGGGGCAGCCACCCCTGGCCTCATTGGCACATATGGGTCATCCTCATCTTCATCAAAAGCTCTGGCTCTGTGGGAACCCCGAGCTACACCTTCTGGGGTCTCCGTATCTCTCATCTCTTTGGTGTCTTTGCGTTCTTTTGTGGGTCCTCTGTCAGCACAAAAATAAAGTCGGAATCGCCCTCCAGACTTCCCTTTTCCATTAGTTGCTCCAGCTGGTGGGGGTGGTGGTGGTGGAGGAGGTGCCATTTGCGGTTGTTTGCCTGGAGTAAATTTACCAAAATAAGATCTTTTCTTCAGAGATTTTGCATGGTCACCATCACCATCAGTACTTTTCTCACTTCCTGAACCCTTGCTCCCTCCTGAGTTCTTGCCACCACCTGAGCCATGGCCATCTCTGGGTCTCTGGCTACCACCTGAGCCATGGCCACTTCCAGGTCCCTGGCCATTGCCTGAGCCATGGCTACCTGTGGTGTTATGGCCATCTCCTGGGGACTGGTTTCCTCTAGCGCCCTGACCTCCTGAGCGCTGACCTCCTGATCCTTGGCCACCATTTGAGCCCTGGCCACTTCCAGATCCTTGCCTCCCGCTGGAGCACTGGTTTCGTCCTGAGCTCTGGCTACTGGAACCTTGGCCACTGGAGCCCTGGCCACCTCCCGAGTCCCGGCCATTTCCTGAGCCCCAGTTGTTCATGGGCATGTAGTCACCTCCGTTTCCTTCCTGACCCTCTTTGCCTTTCCCCCTAGAATTTCCACGGCCTGAGGCCAAGGCTTCACAAGCTCTGTCCTTGGAGGCTTCTTCAGGGTTCGGGGAATGTACCGGGCTAGGCGCTAAGCGTCGAAAAAAGCTGGCTGGCACTGAAATCGCTCTCCTGGACCTGCGTGGTCTGGGCACCTGCAGCCTTCCACGTCTGGAGGGAGGCACGGGTTCGCTGGGTGCTATGAAGCGCCTGGCGAAGAGCATCTCGTCGTCCCTGTCACCAATGGCCCTGAAGTGGCAAAACTGCTCGAAGCGGGACCTTCGGAGCCAGCCGCCGGGCTCTAGCGGCAGCAAGCCTAGGTGCCTCCTAGCGGACAGCAGGGTTAACAGGTGGGCGCCAATGTTGACGCTGTAGCTGCGGCAGCGGGCTCTGTATTCGTCTGCACACAAGGCTCTCATCTTCTCCAGAAACAACTCGTGCATGTTTTGGGCAACTACACAATCATCGACCTGCATCCACAGCTCCCCTGGACCGATAACAGTAGACCTGCCGACTTCCAAGAAGAAATATTGCTCTGAGTGCCCGCAGCGACGGATGCTCAGGAGCTGGACGACTACGCTGGCCACTTCGGTGTTCAGCCTCACAAACACGACCTCTTCGTCGGTAAGACACAGCCGGAACACACCGCTCAGCTCTTTTCTGTGCCCCAGCCCCCTCGGTTTGATTACTACCTGCCACACATCTTTATAGAAGGGTGGCTCCGCCGCCGCTGCCGCCGCCAGCGCAGCCGGCTCTCCGTCCGGCTGCGCGCCCAGCATGCCGCAGCGGCGGCGCTTGCTCTCGAGGATGAGGCGGCTGAGCAGCAAGTACCAGCTTTCTTGCTCTGTCTCGTTCTCGGCCACCATCGCGAAGTACTCGTTCTGGGTGAAAAGGGCAATGAGGTGTCGGTACCTTGCATCAGCTCGCTGGCTCACGGAGAAACATTGATACAGGGTGATCACCCGCCGCGGCGGGATGAGCGCGGGCACGGGGGTACCAGAGGTGGCCGCCGCTGCAGCGGCCGCCGCAGCGCGGACACTGTGCCGGAACTTTCTAGCATTTTCGTAGTATTCCAGACGAGCTGGAGCGTCAGCGGTCTCGAGTTTGAGCACGAAGTAACGCCTGTGCCCATGCTTCTGTTTCCGCAGGTAGCCGCGTTTGCAGACTTCGTCCCCGACGGGGAGGTCCTCTTCCTCGGACTCTGAATCTGACCGGGAGCCAGTGGCGGTGGAGAGCCACATGGCTCCCGGACAAGACAACCTGGTCCCAATGAGTGCGGTCGAGGTTCCTGAGGAAAGAAGAGGGTTGGTTGCCACCGCTGCTAGAGCTGCTGCCGCCGCCGCTACTGCAGCTCTCAGTGTCCTTGTCGCTTGGTCGCGAGCGAAGGAACAACTCGCCATGGTGATGCACGGTGGTTTTAAGGTGAGCGAAGGGGAGGGGTCACTCAGGGAAGGGAGGGTTGGGGAAGAGGCAGACTACTCCCGTCTGCCCGCCCCAATCTCCTCCCGCCTCAGCCCGCGCCCCCGCCCAATTTACTCTGCGCCCAGGCAGCGGTCAAAACAACACGTGACCGCCTCCTCACGCGGTGGCAGCTGCGGATCCAGCTATCAGAACATAGGAGGGGTGCAAGCGGCCAACAGAAGAGGTGGAGGAGCGCCCGGGAAGGGGGAGGGGCACCTCCAGTTCGGTAGAGACCCTCAAGACCTGTAAGCCAAGGGAGAATGGATGGGAGGAGGCGGGGCTCTCTGGCCAGGAGGATCCTAACCGGGAGCCCAGGAAGGCAGGAGGGGGCGGAGGAGAGAGTGGCCAGAGTTCAGGGCTTGGCTCGGGGGCCACTGTCAGAGCTCCATTGGCTAGAGGGGACAAGAGCTGAGGGGGTGGGGACCCCGTAGCCCCGGGGAGCAGAGCTGGCCCCTTAGCGGGACGTTTTGTTTGTTTATTTGGGAAGCGGGAGCCAGGTGAAACTGTTACAAGGCTCCGATTGGTTCGGATAGGGGCCAATGGGAGGGTCCGGCAGGAAGGCGGCCCCAAATTCATTAGTGGGGGGGGGGTGAAACTGAAGGGGGCGTGGCTGGAGTCTGGGAGTGGGGTTCGCTGTCTGCCTGATTGTTGGGAGCTCAGGCTGTAAACAACCTAGCTGTTAATGGTGGTGATAAACTAGTGCAAATCCCGGAGCCACTGTGACCTGGGGACCCAGTTCAGCACCCTGTCTTTCTCCTTGTTGTTCACATACTTTATTCCTGTCACAGTCTGGTCCATTCCCTTCTGCCGCGCGGGGGGACGAGCTTCTGGGGAGAATGTGTCCGAAACCCCTGAAAAAGTGTTAACGATCAGGGGACCCAGACCTGCCGCCCTCGGTACCTGCACTCCAGAAGCCGCTCCACCCTTGACAAAAGCCAGCGACTCTTAAGACACGTGAATAACAGCGATGCCTGCAAAATGAACGCAGATTTTAAACACAGCACATTTCCAGCCCACAAAATATAGGTTGGCTAAAGATGATGTTTCTGGCTATTTGATTAATGATGACTATGAAAGCACAAATTGGGGGCCTGAAAAGTATACAGCCATGATGAAAAATCGGAGTGGATTCTTATTGAATTACACGAGTGTTGAGCTGTGGTGATACTTTCTCGTGGGAGATGATTTGAAAAAGGTGCCTTTATAAAATCTCGAAATATTCAATTTCTCAGCTCTTGAACGAAACTGAAAAACTTTTTTAAAAAAGAAAAGAAAAACTCGTACCTAGAACAAAGGACCATACCGAATATATATCCACGAATATATTTAACATCTTTTGTGTCAAGAAGTTCTTTGCTGCATTTCAGTCTACAAGTTGACATCACAAAAATATAAACTACTGCCTTCCTTGTTTCAGGAAAAACTGCTGGAGCGTAAGTGCAACCTCCTGAGTAGTCTCAGTCTGTCTCTGTCTCAGTCTCTGTCTTCTCCCCCAACTCCCTCCTTCCTTTCCTCTCTTCCTCCCTCCCACCATCTCACCTCCCTCCGCTCCTGGCTTGGCCTGCTGAGCTTTGCTCTCCTCTCTCTTCCATTCCCCTCCCTTCTCCCCTCCCCTCCCTTTTTCTCTCCTCCCCTCACCTCCGCTCCCCTCCCCTGGCTCTCCCTGTCTTTGCCTAGGATTTCATATTCTTAACAGTGGAGATGGGTCGAAATTACATTGAAGTCTCCAAGGAATGATCACATTTGCAAAAAGGGATGGAGGGGCATATGGCATTTCTCTCAAAAAATAGAATGTCAGTTCACCCTTATCCTCGGATAAATTCTACAAAGGATATTATTTATAAAGTCTAACCGTAAATGAGGTAATGTATACACCATAAAAATAGACTCATGTCTGTCCTTTTAAGAATTTACTCTCTGTTAGAAACAAAACAAAGATATTTGAATAGATGGCACCCTTTTGATACTCTGAGTTAGAGGAAAAAAGAAATTTGTTTTGGTTGCCCCCTCAGTATTAGGCAACAATTGTTACCATTTCCTTTGCTGATAGTAGTTTATAAGTACAGAGTATTCACAGGTAGGAGAAGCAAATGTGGTTTCTGAAGGCAGAATGAGTGTGGGTAGACTGGAACTGCTACCTATATGTTTCAACTTCCTAGTCACACATGTACAAGACTTGATATAATTATAACCAAAATTTTATATTGTTTTCATTTGAGCTTTTTATAGTAGGCATTATAATATTTTATCTTTCCAAGCATAAGATTTTCTTTAGATAAAAATGCAAAAACAAAGCAATTAATTTGAAAGTCCTTTGAGTAATAACATGAAATTTCAAAAATATATTCAAAAGAATGAATAAAATTGGAGAGTACTGGAGAGATTTAAAAATCCTCATTTCTTTCCCCCTATATAGAGTTTTTGAAGAAAGCAGTAGGTTTATATTGTAGTGTATATGATTTTGCTTCAGGTTTTTTTCACTTACCATTACATGAGAACATGTCTTCGTATTATTATGGGTCAGTCTAAGCATCATTTAAAATGCAGGATAATATCCCACACAGCTGAAATTTCAGAATATCTTTTCAATTCTAATTTCAGAATATCTTTTCAATTCTAATGTATATTAATTTACTTAATCATTGGTTTGCTTTGGAATTATTTAGGGGTCTTTACAATTGTTTTCAGTATTATAAATAAGGTTGAAATGAATACTTTATACTTATGGCTTTTTAAAATGTTTGAATTATTCCTTTAGGGTGGAAACCAAGGTCTAGAATTACTGAGTTAAAAAGCTTGAATACTTGATGCATTATTTTTCAAAAATATTGTAACAGTTTACCCTTTACACCAATTGCCAGCATTGGATGTTTAAAAAAATTACTGATAAGATGAGTAAAATATTATTCTTCCATTTTAATTTGCATTTTTTGTTTACTAGTAAGGTAAAACATTTTATATCTATTTACTGACATTGTATTGTCTTCTATAAAATGTCTTTTTATGTTCTTTGCCTTATTTATTAGATTTTTAGTGTTTTCTCATCTGATTTGTTTAAATAATAAAGATATTGAAACTTTGTGATATTTGTTGTAATTTTCCCCATGTATTGATTTTTCAAAATTACATTGAAACCTGATATTTTTCTATTTTGAAAGATGAATAAAGGTGGCTCAATGTGGTTTGTAGCACAGTTTAAAAGGGAGCTATTGATACACACAAATGTCATCATGATCACTTCTAATTTTCTTTTTAAAAAATCTCATATATCTAAACATATGCTTAAAGGGAGAATATTTGGTTTTTTTTGTTGTTTGTTTGTTTTTGGTCAACAAACTAAGAGAACATCTGAACTAGTTAAATTTTATGTGTCACACTTAATGCTTTATGATATTATTCTCTACTTTGGGAGAGAGAAAGCCTAGGACTAATCAACGTGTTTTTAAAAAGTGTGGCAATTATTTTTGAATAATCATAGGGCTGATCACTTTGTCCCCAAGGTATATTATTTGCTTACACCAAAGTGGAATTAGAGATTGAGTGAGATCTTTCATAGAGGAATTTTACTTTGTGTGTTTCTGACAATGAGAGAGGATCTGGCAAATGTGAGTTCTGGTAAATAGGGAGAATGTCTGACTAGAAGAATGGTATTTTTCTCCCCATAGGTTAACCTAACCTTTTTGGTTAGAAAGTTGTCCCAACACTGACACTCTTAGAGCAGATTATCATTACTGAATTGCACCAGATGCTGCAGCTTGTCAGACATATATTTAAACTTTCATCTTCCTGGACAACTTAATAATGTAGAATAGTTGTTTAGTTTAGTTCAGGTTTCCATAGGCAAAATAAAGCAGAAGGGTGGTAGAGTTCTCAATAGTTCAAGCAAAAAGTGACTTTGTTTTGTCTCATCTCACCAGATGGTAGTGTTATTGTTCTTCTCTCCCTTAGTTAAGTTTTTATTTTTATTTTTATTTTATGATTTATTTTAAATTTACCCCAGACAGCTAAAGTTTCTTTGCATATCCTGTTATAATGCCTGTAAAATTTGGACTCTGAACCAAGAGTCTCAAACAAGTATTAAGAAAAATCAGATAAGAAGTAATAAAACCTACACTTTAAAAAAAATTTGATTTGCTGTTTTAACTGAGGCGAAAAACCCCCAAGCATTGTGGCTGGTAATTTATATCTACAAACTAAGATAAATAGATAGATAAACAGTCATGGTACCTCTAAAATATATTTCATCTAATGAAGAAATATACCTCTAACGGGGTTTGCTTTTAAAAGGAATTTCCTTTGAATCCTATTTTAAGAAAATATTTGTTTGACTGAACTGAATAGTCAGTGATCATAAAAACTGATGTTTCTTTATTTATATGATAATTATTCTAAACTCAAATTGGATAAGTAAAACGTGGATTTACCTAGCTTAAAAATTAAACTGTTACAGTAAATATGAATTTTATTTAAAAAATAAAACCCAAAAGGAAAACTAATCAATATAAAAGAACTGCTATTATCCTTGCCCAATGTATAAATTAGTCTCCATAGTCTTTATGAGGTAACGTCCAATTATGTGGATCAAAATGTGCATGGTTCTACTTTTGATATTCAAAAATTATGCTAGCAATGGTGATTGCTATCCGTGTTCTATGAATGATGCTTTCTACACTGTGCAGAAATACGGGCTGCTGAGTGATTTGTAGCTGCAGCCACCATTTGCAGATGATGGCTGTGCTTCTCAGCTTTTTACTTTTGTGCTACTCAAAACCTCTGCTGGAGAAGACAACGGTCAAATGCCTGACTGCTACACAGAGAACAGGTCTGCTGGCTGCTTTTGTTTCCTAGCTGTCTGCAACTAAAGTAATTAGAGCAAATGCATGGTTTAATTAGGCTCCTAAAGCTTCCCTGTTATCTTCAGAGTCAACTGAAAATTAACTCTGTTAAAAATTAAGCATTCTTTCCCACTCCAAATGATTAAAGTTTCATTTGCAAATGATTTTAAGTAAGTTAAACCCCAGAACAATGAAATCTGCTAGATTTCATATAAATTGCAATGATTTCACATCATACACATTGTATACACTGATACAAATGAACAATAGAAAATGTAGCTTGATGCTATTCATTCTAAGTATCATGTAGCGGCAGTGTTCTGAGTGTCCGAAGATGATCGATTCATGCCACCTGGTCTTTACAAGTTAAAAATCTTTATTTTTTAAGTAAGTAGGATCATTATAT